TTTAAGACACAGTGGAAACCAGCTGCAAAATTATTCCATACATTTTGTGGAATAATTTTGTGGCTTGTTTTCCATTTTCTCATACTATCAATTACCTGAACTTAGGGCCAATTTACTATTTTAGAAGTGATTAACATGCTAATTTAGGGGTGGGCAATTATTTTGTCTGGAGGGCCACTTAATGAGCTTTGGTGAGCAGTCAAAGGCCACAATGGCAGCCTTCCCCCTTGACAGGTGCTCCACCCATTTATCACTGTGTTGGAACCACAAGTCCTGCTTCCTAGCCCCTGATCTTTGCCACCAGAAGTCCTTTCCTTTGTCCCCAGAACTACTCCTTCTTGGTTGCCATCTTGGAACCAGAAATCCCCCCCAAATCATATACTAAAAGTCAAACATATACTATAATGTATTTTGATTTTATTTTTAAAATATTTTTAAAAATATTTTTGATTTACAGGTGGTTTGCATAGTGTATATAGAGGTAATTGCATAATAGCTCAAAATAAGGTTTTACACTTGTATGTTGCATGCAGGGGAGTATGTGGGGGGGTGTATGGGGGGTTGTGAGGAGGTATGGCTGTGTGTGGGGTGTGTAGGGTATGTTGGGGGCTGTGGGTGTGTGTACATGTTGGGGGTTGTGGGGTCAGAGATAGGGTGTGCACAGCCCCTGCCACTGACAGCAGCAGCAGGCCCTCAGGGTGCTCATGGCCTATGCAGGTGCTGGTGCCCAGTGGCGCACAGCTCCAGCCAGTTTCAGGAGCTACACATGGTGGCAAGGAGCAGAGCCAGGCCAGCCCGCCTCTATCATGTGGGACTCAGGTGCAGCTTCTGGGACTTGTGCACCACCAGAGCACCACTCCCTGCCTTCCAATGGAGTCCCAGGAGCTGCATATGGGTACAAGGTGCGGGTAAGGCAGCCAGCTCCATTGTCCAGTGCTTCCCCCAGTGGCATGCAACTTAGGTACCCCTTGTTCTAGTATAACAAGGCAGATAAAATAGGAATGTCTAACTGACCTTCTCTACACCATTCAAATATTATACTTAGTAAACATAACTAAAGGTATGAAATAATGCAGAATGTATATTTACAAGTAACAATAACTTTCCTAATCCTGTACATTATCGGTTCACTGACTTTTCTACATAATTAATCCATATGGCATTTTTAAGAAGCCTTAAGAATCCTGTGAACAGACACATCAGTTCCAACCTTTACCACAAAAAGCCCCATACCTGTTGCCTGGTTGTAGCTTTATCAAAAATAGGTTGGACCTTGATGTATCCACTTCCATCTCTGATGCATCATTGAGGTTATCTATATTTGTTAACTTCCAATCCACAACTCCCAGAAGATAGTTCAAAAGATATCTAGCAGCCTCAGAGTCAACAGCAGATAAAATTAAAGAAGATGATGAAAACTTAAGAATTTCCTGTAATACAGATATGAAGCATTTAGCTACCTGCTTTATAATTAAGACATGGGTCAATTATGTTTCATAGTTTTACAATATTCAAAGAACTCTATACAACTCTGAACATGGATCCAACTATATATAGTTTAACAAATATGGCAAAAGAAAGTACTGGGAGAGACGGAGGGTTTAAAATTACCAAAAGCTATAAACTTTTTTTTTGCAAAATTATATATTGCAAGAACATTTGGTTGGTTTAAACCAGTTTATAAAGTCACTGAAATGTCTGTAAATTTGGAATTTTGACTATTAACAAAATATTGGACAGTTTAATATAATAATTTTGCATTTTTCAACCAGCCCTAGGTATTTACATTTGTGCAAATAAGTTTGTTTTTGTAATTGAAATTGTTATTATGTTTTATTTAGAATATACCACATTTCAAACTGTATAAGCCTGATTCTGGAAAATAGTGGACTGATGCAGCATCTGGGTTATGACTCTTTCAATACTCAAAAAACAGCACAGAGCTTTGCACAATTCTACAACTGTGCCCCAGTCCTGGTGGGACAACTCAAGAACCAAGTTTCCATGGTTTATATACCTGTCCAATATATAAAAGCCACCAGACAATCATTAGACAGCTATGTAATGCCCTTAAAACTGAAACAGATAAATAAATGATAGCACAAGCTACAGGAGTGCAATAAGTAGCAAAGTCACATTACTAGTACCAGTTTTCATTATATATTTATATATTAAATACCCTTTCCTAATAAGACCCTATCATGATTGATTTTGTCTTGACAATGACTAATTTATAACAACATTTTTTGGGACAAATTTGGCCTTAGGGTTTAAAACATCTCTATAAACAGATTGCTAATTTCCTTTTACTTCATTATTTCATTTCCCATTCATTCACATTCATTTACTATAAAATAAATAGAAACTATGAAGATATTTTCTGGTTTCCTAAACAAAACTTGAATTGTAAAACTCAGACTGAGTCCATTAAAATGGTCAAATATAATATTATTTTATTCTAGGGTGGGCAATATTGTCAATTGACTGGTTGATTGACAGCATATTTTTGACTGATCAAAGATTATAGTAATTTTACAAAAAAACCTAAATTTTTTGTAATTTTCTTGACAGAAATATGGTTTTTTTTATTGTTTTTTGACACATTTCTTAATGGAAAATTTGTGCTTCTTCTGTGTATTATTTAGACCTATTGGCATTTTTTAAACAATTTTTTACCAATATTAAACTGGTCAATTATCAAACTTTATTTGACTGAATAAATGCTTTATTACATGAGCCTAACCCTTTTACTCAGGTCTCTGATCCAAATGCTCATGAACAGTAAGTAAAAAAAAAAATCTTAATAAAATATTCAAGCATTCATGCTTAACATTTTTTTGCAATTACTTTTAACAAATGCAATGCTCAAATAAAATGTTTAAGAAAAGCAGGTGTGAATAGTCTAAATAAAGTTGTTCAAAAATTTAAATGAATATTTGTGTATTTTCCCCCACTGTGTCTAGTTTACTGCATTTTATCTTTTCTTTAGCATTTCTAAATATATAACTAATTGACACTACTTAGCATTCTGATGTTCAGCGTGTTATAGAGCCTCTCTTAGCTGATGCTAGTGTTATGGCATTGCTAAAACTTCTCTCTTCGTATTATTTTTCTCCCCTTTCTGTTTTCTGTCTGCCTACCACTTTTCTGACATTTTACTTAGTATTGCCAATTGCTTGGATCATTTTTTACATCTTACGTTTTCCTCCCAGTGCTGATTTCAAAAAGAGCAAACTCCAGGCTCAGCAGACAGTCATTTTCACATTTTACTGATTGCTAATAGAAGTACAGTGGCAGCATGGGTTAGCTCTCTTGCTAAAACTCTGGAGGTATGAATTCAAGTCTCACTATAGACTTAGGGCAATGGCTGTTCCAGTTGACTCAAGTCTACTTGGCCATTTGGACCAGGGAGTCAAAAGTTGCTGGCCATGGTGCTAATCACATCCTTCCCTTGTGGGCTTTTGGCCACAGAATCTGGTGTGCCTTAACAGTGCCAACCCCAGCTGCCACTATGCATGAGAGAACCTTTGACCTTCACTTGCTGGAAATAAGAAATACTTAATTTTTATTATTATTGTAGTACCTAGACTGGTAGAAAAGGCAACTCCAGGAAAATTAACTTAAAAAACCCTGCATTGTTGCACAAGGAAGGAAATGGGAAGTGAGGAGGAATGTACTCCTGCCTTGCTAGCTTTGCTTAAACTTGGAAATAGATCACATTTTGCATTTTATAAACCTGAGGCAATATTTAAGGCTGACAGTTTTGCTATTTTAACCTCCTACCCTCTATTACACAATTTTTACAGCAATAGGTATTAAACAAGTGAACAGTGTGGCCATTACATGCAATAAAATAATCTAGATGATAATTTAGATGATAATTTAAATCTTTAGTTGATGCTCCATCTATTGTGCATCTTTCATTTTCTGTAGTCCTAGATGACAAAAAGTATGGGGAATGCATAGAACTAAAGACAGGCATTTTACAGCCTAATGAAGGACTAGACATATCAGCACAGGAGAGCCCAAGGTGTGAAAGGGAAAGAAATCTTTTTTCCAAGACCATGAAGTGATAGTGGAATCTCTATGTGGAAGCTGCTGTCCATAATATTTGTAAAAGGAGTTTCTTTTGCCTATGTTAGATTGCCCCACTAATGAATACCTTTGACTTCTTAAAAATCCCCTGAAGCTCCTGCATTTGTGCAGGGGTTTGGATTCAAAGTCCCTCATGACACTACAGTTCTATGATTCTCCTACAATGGAGCAAAGGTTAACAGAGACATTGTTAGCATCTTTCATTTTTCTCAAAAAGATTGTGTATAGAAGGTTTTCAATCCACTTTATAAGAAACCATATTTGAGGTAAAAGATGTGCATTTGCTCTGAAAATATCTGGAAACAGTACCAAAGCAGACAAATTGATAAGTGAGATCCCTGAAATCTGCCTTTTTTATCCTTAGGAGTACCTTTCAAATATTGAAGTTTATTTTCTACAACACCAATATATTATTGTCATATAAAAACAAATCAAATCAAACTGAGCTACAAGAACCATCTGTTTCTACTCACCTTAATCACATGGAAAATTAGCATTGTTACTCTTTCAGAAGCTTGTATTAATTTTATATTTTTAGATTTATGAAAAGTACCATTATGCATAAAATTATGTATTATGGTTCACATGGAGAGGCAGCTAGCCATGTTAGCCTTAAGCCAGGCAGAAGGTAAGGTAGGGTTGGCACCTTAGAGACTAATTCGTTCAGAGGTATGAGTTTTCATCAGCAACAACCTAGTATCAAAGTAGATTGTTGAGTTAGTCTCCAAGGGGCCAGCCTTGCCTTACCATCTGCCTTATCTCATCTTTCACCCTTTTGGATGATACAAGTGAAAATTGGTGTGGTATACTTTTAGCAGATATTTTATTTCAGCTATTGAAAGTATTTTTAAATAACTAGTTCTTCATTCTATTGCAGTTTCTCTTCTAATGTTGTGATAGTTGTTTTATTCATTTAATTTATGTATGTATTTAGCTACTCTCTCAGGGTTTGAACTTTTTTATAAATAAATTATTTTTTTACTTCATAATTATTAAGAGTGTTACATCCAGTCCCTCTTTGCTTGCTTTATCATGGAAATAGTGTCTTTAAAGTATGCTCTTTGTTAATTCCTACAGCAAATTTAGGGGTAGGTTTGAATCTTAAAAAAATACAACCTTTGTTAAAAAGTTAAGTACCCTTTGAGGTAAGGTACATGCAAGACAAAAAAAAGCAAAACAAAAAACAATTCAAGGCATTGATTTTAGAAAAAGCATTCAAATGGAAATGAGTTTAGAAACTAGATCTAGTAAATGGGCAACCCCTCTTGTGCTAATACTCTCATTTTAGAGTAATAGATGTCAGTTTAGCTGACATTGGTACAAGGAATATATAGCAGTGGATTTAGGTATCCCACATGAGTAATGAGCAATATTTCAGCCAATTTAGCCAGAAAACAAAGAGCTGAGGACTGGTCCACTACATACTTTTTGTACAATGTTGCTATGACAACATGGACTTTGAACCAAATACAGTTAAATTGAATTATATGTATGTACAAGGGTTGTCAAAATTATATATATATGTATGCAACTAAGTAAAAGAAAAATGTTTAGCTAAAAAAATCCCATAATTCAGCCTCTGGAATGATTGCAGTAATACCAGCATTTAGAAGCGCATATTGATATACTATATTCCTATTAAGCAATCCTGCTGAGATAGGATTACATGATCCTACTCAGCCAGCTGATAAGATAATCAATGCTTTCTATTACCAAATGTTATTTTTTTCATTTATGTGCAAGGCCTTGTTTTAGCTAATGAGATTATCCTTGGTTATCAAGGAATATCAGTGCTTTTCTAGTGTCTAGAAAAAAAAGTCGTATGGATATGCATATATATGTACATGCATACACAGTATCTAGTAGAAAGTTCTGACTTACAGTAGTAATTACACAACTGCACAGCTGGCAACTAATTAGGTTGCTTTATTACACATTGTAATTCAATGGAGTTAAGTATTGTTTGGGGAACATCAAAACTATATTAGAGAAAAATGGTTTGTGGGATTCATATTCAGCTGACAAAACTTCTCCCAGAATGCCACTCTCTGTATTTTATTATTTAATAAAGAAGTTATTTGAATGTTTAAAACAAATGATGTACTTATAACATCTTTCTCTGTATTAACTGGGAATGGAAGTCCTAATTGCACACACAACCATTGATCCCAAAAGCTCAAAACAGCTACTCACTCATGTAAAGAGTTGCACAAATCTAATATCTGAGAATGTCTGAGAGTTACAATCCTATAACTCTTTTTAGCAAATCACACTTTTTTTTCTTGTATTACACATGCTGCTACATGCACATATACATATTAAATAAGATCTCTGG